AGGAAGGAAGGAAGGAAACACAATACTTTGCAGATACTGTGGAGTGATGCAGGCAAGATTTACTTGTGGATGCTAAAGTTATCACAAATTTAAGAAGAAACAAGTTATTCACATCCTGGAGCTGGAGAGAAGGCTCGGTAGTTAAGAGTACTTGCTGCTCTTCCAGAGGACTCAGGATTGATTCCCAGCACCTACATGGCAGCTCACAACCATCTGTAAATCCAATTCCAAGGGATCTGATGCTCTCTTCTGTCCTCCACAGGCACCAGGTACACATGTGGTGCATGGACATACAAGCAAGCAAAAAACAAACAAACAAACAAACAAACAAAAAACCCACATACATTTAAAATAACAAGAAAAGCCTGAAAATACCTTCCCCATATTACAAAAGGAAAAATGGTAACATCATAGACGAGGAACTCTGGCAGCCACCAAGGAATCAGTTTCGGTCACAGACACCATGTTGTCTAATCTGATGCCCTGAGGAAGGCGTGGTCACTGGTGCCATTCCCCAAAGGGCATAATCATGGTTCTCACCAGAGCACAGCAAGCTCAGACTGAGCCATGCCACCAGCACCCTTCAAAGGTGCCAAGGTACTGAGAAATAAGGAAAGACTAGCAATTGTGACCGATCAGAGGAGCCCACAGAGAGAAGAGAAGGAAATGCAATGTGGATCCTGGACTACAGCCCGGAACAGAAGGCAGGCATTGGAGAGATAAGCCTGGTTCAGGTGCACTGGTGTTGACCTCATCTTCCTATGATAGTCTTGATGGGGTTCAGACAACATCAGTAGCAGAACTTACAGAAGGAATAAGAGATCTTTGCTGTTCTCATAACCTAAACAGTTAATTTTTTCAGAATAAAGTCAAGAACGTGAAGTGGCCCCACAATACTCCCTGCATTCTCCCCAATCCCACTTCTCCCACACCCCCAAGGGCACACTCTAACTCTGTAGTGCAGGCTGGCCCAGCTCACCCTATAACCCAGGCTAGCTCTGAACTCAGTAGCTTCTTTCCTCTGCCTCTAGACTGCTGTGACTACAGGACAGTATACCATGCTTGTGGGTATGTATATCTAGATAGGTAGATAGATAGATAAACACACATACACACACACACACACACTGAGTGAATGATTGTAATTTTAAAATGTGATAAATAAATTAAGTAATCTTTGTAAATACTACTAGGGAAAACCAATGCAGAAACTGAATGATTATCTTGTGTATGCATGTGTGTGCCTGCATGCATATATGTGCACATTGTTTGTGTAGAAGCTCTCTGGGCAGAAGATGGTATCATATCTATTGGAGCTGGAGTTACAGGCGATTGTGAGCTGACAAGTGGGTGCCGGGAACTGAACCTGGGTCCTCTGCAAGAGCAGTCAATGTGCTTAACCTCTGGGCCATTTTGCCGGCAAAATTGAAGGATTTTATGAAGCTGTCAGAACTGTGAGAAGAAAACACCCTGAACCTTCTCCCACATACCCCCAAGTCACATTCTGGGGACCCCCCTCCATTTATCCATTATTAACTGCACAGGGAGAGATACTTTACTCAGAGACCTCGCTCCAAACATCACCACCTCTTCTGGAGTCGCTTCTGACAATTCCTGGCAAGGCATATCTCACATGGTCAGGATGCAGGACAGTGGCCAGGAAATGGGTAGTGTGTCCCCCAGTCTATCTGAATCTTCCAGGGACCGAGTTTTACCAGCATTACAGCCAGCAACAGGATTTTACTGGAAAAACCCAAGAAACCACATCTTCCAGGCCATGCCCTTTCTCAAATTTTCTCAGTGGACTCTACAAGCTGGGGCTGGGGAGCACATCAGGCCTTGTATGGATTTCCTCTGGTCACCTGTCTTGCTTTCACTAATTCTAACTCATTGTGCACCACGGCTTTCATCAGCACATGGTGTCAGGCTGCTGTGATGGAAGGGACCCTGCTGAGAGCTAGGATCCCTGGGTTCCGCACCCACATGTATACGAAAGTCCCAATGCTCCACAGTGCTCTTGTCCCAGCTGGAGCATGGTTGAGGGGCTGCCTCTTGGAGTCTCGGCATCTTTGGGAGATTCCAGAGCCTGACTTATGGGAAGGTGAGGGTTGAACATACATGGAAAGGGACATCTTTTCATGGTGCTCTTTTGGCACCGTGTTGAAGGTTCCTGACATAGCAAGGACACAGATCCCAGGGAACTGCCAAAGGTCAGATGGGTGCAAAGGAGGCACCTTGAAGCCTTCCGTGTGCCTTCGAGCTCACATTTTCATGGCATGGTTTCTTGTTCATGCTTTTGTTTAGGAAAATAAAATTGAGCGGGGAGTGGTGGCACACGCCTTTAATCCCAACACTCAGGTGGCAGAGACAGGAGGATTTTTGTGAGCTCAAGGATGGCCAGGTCTACATAGCTAGTTCTGGGACAGCCAGGGCTGCATAGAGACCCTGTCTCAAAAAGGAAGGAGGAGGAGGACGAGGAGGAGGAGGAGAAAAAGAGAAAGAGAAAGAGAAAACTGAATGTGTAGTCTCCTGCTCTTCTCTGTGCCTCTGAATTTCAGGCACACCCTTCTGGTGGGGCTCTGTGAAGGCTATCACATGATACATGGGGAAATTTGAGAAGTTAGAGCTCAGATGGCGAATGCTCACCCCTCAGCTCCTGCACTTCTGTAGCCCTGCATGGAAAGGATCCCTGTGTGCTCACTTCACATAGACACGCTAAACTCATACAGGGGATGACCCTGGGAGCTGCCGCAGCAAACGAGCTACACTTTTCAGTGCTGCTCCATGACTAAAGCAGAGACAGCTGTTCAAGGAGTCCCACGGGGAGAACAAGGCCCCAGCAAATGCTCTGTGGTGCCCCCCAGCTTTCCAAACCCTAGTAAGCACAGAGGCGCTGCAGATCCACCATTCTGCAAAGAAACAGGGTGCTTCCCTTGAGCCAATTCCAGCAGTGTCTCTTTGGCTAAAAACTTCCCAGATCAGCCTGGTGGTGGTGGGCACGCCTTTAATCCCAGCACTCGAGAGGCAGAGGCAGGTGGATCTCTGTGAGTTTGAGGCCAGCCTGGTCTACAGAGTGAGTTCCAGGACAGCCAGGGCTGTTACACAGAGAAACCCCGTCTCGAAGAAAAAAAAAAAATCAAACCAAATAAACAGAAACATTCCCAGATCCACCGCTTGTCTGGTACAACCAAGGCAGAGTTTTCTGTGCTGGAATCCCTGGCTCTTGATTTCACAAACCTAGAGCACAGAAGTCTGGAAGTGACAGCCAGTTCAATCCAAGAGAATTTCAAGACACCCTGTGTAGGCCACACACATCATTAAGGGAGGGTGACCACAGAGCTCTGGGTCAGTCCCGAGAGAAAGCTCCCAGGATGCACGTGTGCCCCACTTTGTTCTGAAAAAGGTGGGGAGGAGATGTGCCTGAGGGACCCTATCTGACCACACCCTGTTCCAGGCAACAGCCTGGACCCACTTTATCCTGTACATCAGGGCCTGAGCACATGGCACAGGTGCCCTGCAACTCCTGAACCCAAAGAAATTGTCACCAACATTGTGGGTGTGTAAGTAGCTAGGTATGGAGGAGGACACGTGAGGATAGATGTTCACAGCAGGAAAAAAAACTAGGCCAAGGTTCAGAACCCACCCTCAATGAGGTCTGCCTACAAGGGAGGGGCCAATGCCCTGTCACATCCTCTCTCTTGACTTTTGGGTGGGCATGGGCTGTGTCCCCATCATCTTTAGATGCTGCGGGACACTGTCCACTCCTTTCTCTCCCTTTCCACCTGCTTCTGCCCAGATGTGCCTGTTCCTTGGCTCTGCCCAGCACATCTGTATTCCATCCATCACTAGACCAGGACTCTTGGGAGAGGACAGGAAGTACTCCTCACATCCACTCATCCTGGTGCTTTTTAAAACCTCGCTTGTGGTCACTGAGCCCAGAGCCACAGAGAGGATTTTTTTTTTTAAAGACTAAAACATATAATTAAAATCTCTGTTGGGTTTTGGGGACAGTGCTGGGCGGCTCCCCACCCCTTCTTTCCGGAAACACAGATTTTTGGCATTTGAAAGTGACAAGCGGCTGAAGTGAGGCTGCCCTAAATATACCATCCTGAGCACATCTGTGCAGCTGGGGCATATATCTTATTCTAAACCCTTGGCCTTTACCATAGGGAGCAAGGTCAGCTTCTAGCCGGGGCTCCTCCTCAGCTGTCACCCTAGACTGCCATCACCTTCACCTCCAGCGGGTCCTGGAGGGAACCTCTCAGACCACATGACTCCCACTGGCACAGCCTTGCTCGCAGACCTGGATTCCAGCCAAACCACTGCTACGCCCAACAGCCATGGTCCACAGACAACTCCCCGCTGTCTAGAGCATGCTTGGCCACCGCCAAGACACCTTCTTGTCCATCTTGTCCATCACTTCAGATGTCACCATTTCCTCTTGCAGTCTGCCTGTCTCCTTCCCTTTATCCCCTGGTTGATGGCACTGGGTGTCCCTCCATTTCCTAAGGTCCTTCAGCGGCCGACTTTTTAATGTGGCCTGCATTCTGCACATCCCTCTCTCAGGACACTGAGGGAAATTCAAACAGAACTGACAGCTCAGCTCAGCTGTCACATCTGAGCTCCCCCACCCCACCCTCTCATCAAGGGCAGGCTCTGGGTGTCCTCTGTCCCACTGAAATTCAGCCAATTATGTCCCTGTAGACAGGCTTTTACCCTGGAACTGTGATAGTGTTCTGCCTTGGGACCAATGTCCATCTTGCCATTGGCTCAGGAGCTCGGAGAGAAGACATTTTGATCCACTGATGGGTCCAGGGACCTGGTGAGCACTTGCTGAGTTTCCCACTACACCACCTCCTGGGGCCTGGTGTGCTCCCAGAGCAGACCACAAGCCTGTGTGGAGAGCAGGAGCCGACCCCACTCAGGCTGCCTGGGGTCCTACTCTGAGCACAAGCCATCCTGGCTCCCGGTGATGACCTCACTCCCACTTTGTCTTCCAGTGGAGCGAGACCGTACCCTGGACTACCAGGAGCCACACTGGAAGGAATTCCTCTTTGACCTCACCCAGATCCCTGCTGGGGAGGCTGTCACAGCGGCTGAGTTCCGGATATATAAAGAACCCAGCACCCACCCACTCAACACAACTCTCCATGTCAGCATGTTCGAGGTGGTCCAGGAGCACTCCAACAGGTACCTTCACTCTGCCCAGATGCCCACCTCGCCTCATGGTCTCATGGTCTAGGCTCTGGTGGGCCTGTCCAGAGGGGGCATTTCCAAGAAAGGAAAGGGGCGCCTCCTAGGGGAGGTGCCAGGAAGTGAGAAAAGGGCTTGGCCTGGAACTCCCTGCCCTGCCACTGTGACTGTGGAGCCCTCGATAGGCCACCGTACTGAGCCACTGAGCCAGTGTCCCATCAGTAGCACACGGACACAGTAAAATGCCAGGGGTTGGTTATCAGTGGACTGTGGTACCAAAGGAGGCCAGTCCAGAGCCAAGCAGGGAAGCAGCTCTGAAAGAGGACCCCAGGCAGGCACAAGACACAGGCAGCCACGCCGACCTCAGCCCTTGGTTAATTCTTCTTTCATGTCCACAGGGAGTCTGACTTGTTCTTTTTGGATCTTCAGACGCTTCGATCTGGGGACGAAGGCTGGCTGGTGCTGGACATCACAGCAGCCAGTGACCGATGGTTGCTGAACCATAACAAGGAC